TGTTGTTGTTTTGAGGACGCAAAAAATTTTACAAAGATTTAGAACGCACGTGCACAGCTATTGTTCTGCTAAGTAAACCTCATGTTTAGTGACGTTGCCGTTGCCGTTGCCGCGTGATTTTGTTAAACCCCTTTGCCTTGACGGCAGAAGGATCACGGTAATAAAGAAATACTAAAATGGCTAAATGCGCTCTGTTCTTTTACTTCACTTTCTTGAAGCCTTTTATTCGGTGAGTTATTTGGAAGGGAGGGCTTTTGAACATTTGCTTATTATGTACTTTGGCCACTGTTTATGGTAATGATTATTATTACTTGACTTTGAACAATATTAATCTTTTACAATATATTTTTAGTTACTTAGAACCCAAGGTTTAAACATTTTCCTTCTCCTTTGGCAACGAGGTCCACTAACTTGGGGTCTTTTCCAAGGAACAGAAGAAAACACTTAAATGAATGTAATAATTCCTGCGTATCAAAGTTTGTTAACAGTTCATTTTTGGCAGAGGATATTTTTATTTTTTACTTGAATTGTTGCTATATATGGTTGAAATCGCTGAATAAGTAAAATTAAAGTTATCAGAGGCTTATGACAGAGTATTTTGAAATTTTAATTTCCTATTACCAGAAGCATGTAACACATTATTCAGCCCCAACAAGAGCAAACTGGCTTAAACATATAGTGAAAATTGTTTGACACTGCAGTTTATTGGTGATTTAAAAAAACAGAGTTGATGTGTCTACTCGAGACGGATAAACGATAAATGAGGTGCATCGTAATTGACAACTCGCCTGTAAAGCTCATTTAAAAACCAAAATTCTTTAAAATAGTAACATGAACTTCAAGATACGATCATTTTAAGCAATGTCAATTGTCATTTTGTTTGCTTTGAAATGGAATAGTTATAGGGAATAGATGGTACAGGAACAGGGCTAAATCAGGATATGAAGTAGACTATACGCTCGCCACGGTCGATTCTTGCGCGGCTATCAATGGTTGAGTTTATTTGTCTCTCTTCTGATACTTCGTTCTCCTTTAAAAATTCATTGGTGTCCTTAAGTTGTGTTAAACTTTGTTAAATGCAGTTGCATCGTGGATGGACTATTGTTTATCTCAAAATTTTGATCCGAACTATACGAAATTTCTTAATTTCTCTATGTTACCATTACTCTTTGCGCGCCATTTGATTTTCGTACAATATAGAGGAAAATAATACTAATTAAAAAAACACAACGAAGACATAAAGAGGGTGAGCTGTAGTCTTTGGAGTAAATAACAAAATTTATAAATAACCAGATTTGGAAATAACTGTGAGCTATTTAGATTTTTACAAAGGGTTTTACTCTATCTAGTTAGAAAAGCCTTCAAATTAATTGCGGCCTTTCTGGAAACATGGCGAACGAAAGGCTCATCTAACGTGTTCATTGAAGTGGTTCAACACCAAAGGTAACTTAAACCTGAAAACCTTTTTATGCAGACTGAAACAACATTGACACCTTTGCTCGTGTTATCATCATCTAAGGAGATGCTTCTTTTTCAGCTATTTCATGCGAATCAGGGATTGATTTTTTATCAAACAACGATTACAGGAATAGTTCCATGGTTTTAAAGCAATGCTGATTCATTACCAATGTTGTTGTTTGTATAAAACTATTTGATGAAAATAAGATTAAAGATCAGGTTTCCTGTGGCCGGATATCACCTAAAAGAGATCGATATGAGGCGTCTGCGTGGGTTTGAGACAATTTAATGGAATAACAGATGAATAGAATTCAGTTGGTGTGGCCAATTAGTGGAATAGATACAAAGGTAGTGGTTACATTACACATTATAACCCACAAAGAAACCATCCATTTACAAATTTCCTTTGAAACGACAGTAGTTAGAATTTGTACCTCCTCTGCCATAAATTTCATTAATCGACGCTACTACAATACTTCGCCGCATCGCTGTCGTATGCTCTGATCTTGACCAATTGCAGTTTTGAATTCGTTAGCCAATTTTCATCTGGCTCAATTTATGTCATTAACTCCCCCACAAACGCGTCACATCTTTGCCTCCCATAAGCCTAATGAGAATTGTTCTTTGTTATATTTCTTGCCAGCTCGTCACTATTTAATTGTTGCTTTGCTACTTTTTAAGGAGAAAAAAGATTTTACAGTTTTGATGTGATCACGATTTATCAAATAAAAAAACTGACTGATTTTTGGGGTTCTATGATAAATGAAGTTTTTCTGAGTGCATTATTAGCATTTAAATGACCCTTTTTTTCCGCAACCAGAATCCTTTGACTCGGCTGTCTATTATTCTTAGATGTGTCTACTGTAATGGATTAGCTTTTCCGCCTCTTACAGAAACTAGGTTCGTGCATCATCAATTTTGAAATAAAAACGCCAGCAGGCTTAAGTGGATTAAGTTCATTGAGGATAAGAGTAACACGTAAGTAATGTGGTACTGGAACGTGCCAAAAGTCATGTTCCTCCAAGCAGGTGTTTCCTTGTTGTGCGGTCTTGTGATCAGGCTGACCACAAGATTTGACAACTTAAATAATGCTTCGCAAATTAATTTAGAATTATGAAAATTAAAGGAATTCATGTACGTAATGGTTTGACTCGTCACAACTACGGAAGTTGCTAAAACGTTCAGAAGAATCAAACTACCGTCTTATTCCTGTAAGGTAACCGAACTTTATATACAATTCTTTTTCCTGGAAGCTAAACGAAGTAATGAAGAATCCTATCCTTAAAAATTTTGCTTGATTTATATGATTGGCATGCGTGTCTTTCTTATAACAATTTAACGATTGTTAATGACGCAAAATCAGCTTTAAATGTACCTTTTCTTTCTGAAGTTTGAGTCTCCAAAGAAGATCAATATGATGCCCTAAAACGTGATAGATGCGAGAGGTTTCTCACGTCAGTAAATCAAAAATCAGCTGACTCATTTCATGAAGTTTAATTAGTGGTCTATTTGTGTTTTGCTTTTGCTCAGTTATGCGAATTCTTTTTTTTTTGTGGTCTCCGTATATGTTTTCATAATAGGGAGAGGATCACAGTTACAATTCGTTTTTGCGGCTTTTTCGACTAAAGAAAATGACGTTGTAGCCTTAGTTCTCTAAGGTCCATCTACTTGATAATCATTGTCGAAGATTATGTGCATAAATATGCTTGTTTTCATGCAAGCTTATAACAGGATAGAGATTGACTCAGACGGTAAATTGACTTAAACAGTATGGATGAGGTGAGAGTGATTTTCGCGGTAATGAACACTACATAAGCAGTAGTGAAAATAAAGTCTAAAAAAGCAACTTTTTCTCATGCGCATAATTGGTCCTCATCTCTGTGCTGATTCACGGTCAAACGCTTTTTAACCTCTTGGCATAGGAAGCAGTTTTTTCCCGTTTTTCTCTGGCGAAACGTAGCTGCATAGATTTATGCCTGCATCCCGACGCTGTGTGTGGGAGGTGAAAGAAGTTGTCTTTCGTTCCTTCGTTCTTCCTTTTGCTTCTTTAAACGTCGCTTGATGACCGACAGATGAAGCGATGAAATGTTTGATTCTCCTTACGTATGTTCTTGCAATTTCTCTTGAAAACGAACGGAGTATTGACGAACTAACCCTTTTGATAGGCACGAGTTTCCTTTAAAGAATTTGATCACTTACAAAGTTTTACTGACGCAAAATCAGTTTAGAATGTGCCTCTTCTTTGTAAAGTTTTAGCACTTAACCTAAATAAGTATTTCTATAACTTAAAAACGGGATAGGAGCGACAGATTACTCTTGTTAGTGAACCAGAAATCGGCTGACTCATTTTGTAAAACTTTATTCCGCCTTAGATATGTTTGTTTTTTCGCTTAGTCATCCAAATGGTTCTTTCCTGTGCACTGTTTCGCCTTCAAAAATTTTCTAAGCAGCTGGCATGGGAAGAACCTTCATCATTTTTCCCTAAAGCAAAACAAACATGTAGCTGCATGAAATTATCCCAGATTCTCGAAATAGGGGACTGTGCTTGGAAAGTAGGACGTTTAAAGAGCGTTCTTCCCTTTTGTCTTTTCCATGTTTAAGCGACATTTGATGACCGCGTAAATTTGCAGTAACGAAATATTTGATGAATAGTTTGTTTGACCCTATCTATTCACACATCTATTCCGAACGCACCATATCTATTCTCAGCCATCAAAAGCAAAAAAACAAAAGAGACAAAGTACACAATTTGAGACTAATTAACAAAAGCCAGTAGAACACGAAAACTAAACTAAGCAAAAAACGAAAGGTCGAACACAGAAAATCAGTTACATAATTCTGGTGCTTTCACTCTTCCTTGAGTTCAAGAGGTCTTTATTTGTTAAAATATGGCGAAAGATACGAAATTTTTTGTTTGCTTTGAAATTGCGATGAACCACATAACAAGATTCTGTGTCCTATGCAAGCTTTGGTGATTGAAAAATAATGTCCTTCGATCCCAACGCGTAGTTAAAAAATCAAACCCAAAGCTTTAGTTGAAAGAAAAGAATTGAAAAATTTTACGTTAAATTTTTGAATGCTTCTCTTTCTATCCTCTATTATATTTAAATTCAAACAAAAACAGTCTTTGTTGACCTATTCTATTATTTTGAAGCAATTGAATAATGAAGGATTCCAGCAATTACACACAAAAATTGATCAGGACCTTTTCAAGTTCAATTGGTAACCACCTGACCAACTTCTTTTTAGAGAGAGATCTCGCGAAAAGCATATTTCTTTAAATGCATTTGTTGCAGTTTATGTCGACGGGAGGGTGTGTTTACCAAGCCCGCATACGTTTAACTTTTGACAAATCTTTGAACACCGTTGTGAGTTAATTAGAAAAGAATGGTAAGTGTTTTTCATATACATGACTGTTGAACCTGCTGTTATTGAAACCATAACAATGAATAAATCATGTGAGTCGACCAGGAATTGGAGTGAGAGATTCACAGTGCACAAGTCGAAATTTGTGTCAACATTCAACTCAACGAACACATAACATGTTCTTGTTCTGGCCCTTAATCGCTTTGTCTGTAACGTTGGTATCAGGACTTGGTCGAGTGAAAACAAATGATTTACGTGCTGTAAACTTTGCGGCAGAGATTACAGGACGTAAGCTTCTTGGGAGGGTTATCAAGGAGACAGAAGAGGAATCAGAAGATGCTTGCCAGCTGTTATGTGTAGATGAAAGCCGTTGCCTGTCTTACAATTTTGGACCAGCAGAGGACGGGAAAAGATTCAAATGTCAACTAAGCGACTCTGATCGATTTGCTGCAGTGGACAATTTCTCTCAAGATGACGAATTTTCCTACAGGGGAATACAGGTATTGTGTAATTGGGTACAACGTAGAAAAAGATAGGTTACAATAGAAAGTAAATTCTTCAGGTAGTATTAATTTTTTTCAAAAAAAAAAATTCTCTTATTCAATGTATACTTTACCAATTATAGTCATTTACATTCAGCTTTCATTAAAAGACATTAGCATATCGATGGTTAAATTTCTAAAGATAAAAATCACTCCTTGTGTGAAAAAAATTTAGCAATTCAAGTTACAGAGCTGCCTGAGTAATCAATATTCAATTTTTAAGGCGGATACGTTTCTAAGGAAACTTTAGTGATGTGACGGTGGGATATCACAAGATAATTTAATTATATCAACTAAGATGATAATGTGAATTGGCGGTCACAATTTTATTTAAGTTGGCCCCTTCACATTATCAACTCAGTTGAAAAAAAAAGTCATCCAACATCTGTTTGTTGTTTTCTTGCACAAAAAAGTTTTCCGATGCATGCTGAGTGCAGCACCAAAGAAATGTTAGGAGAAAACAATACACAATTTGGTTGTTTGCAAATTTCACCTTATTTGGATTTTAGAATTTAAAGTTCAAATCTGTTAGCGCTTGCATTGAGTTGGCATCTTTCCAAATATAGAGTTCTTGTGAGACAAGCGGTTCCATTTGCGGCGGAAAAGGAATCTGTATCCCCAACTATCAAGATGGCAACGCAAGATGCAAATGTAAAGATGGCTTCAGAGGACCAACTTGCGGTTAGTGTTGGAATTGTCACATGTATAGTTTGGCCTTGAAAATTTAGGAATTCAAACAGCAAAAGACGATTATGTATTTTTTTTAGCAGTAACACAGGCATACTCCGAGAAATTACTTAGATGGCTTAAACGAATGTTGAACCCATGGCCTCCTGATTAAGGATTACTCTCCCCGACCCCCTACTGAATTTCAGGCGCATCGTGGTAGCTAGTGAAGACCACCACTGGAAGGAGGCGAAAGACACAAGTCTCGAACATACTTTTTTAAGCATTCGAAAGAAACTACAATCCTCGCGATAATCTTTAGAACAACTACTAATAAGTTGTGTTTATGAGTCACGTGCCCTTCTAGTCGGCATTTTTTATTGTCTTTAGTACGGAGCATTTTACTCGGCAAATTGAGTTATGTATTTTTGTATACTTGTTTCTATGTCTGTTTGTTAGTTTGCTTATTTTTTTGTACCATTTCATAGCTATAGGGCCAGACAGCTGCGCTGAACTGCTTCGAGACGGTTGGAATTCCAGTGGCGTATACACCATCAATCCAGATGGGGGAAAACCAGTGCAAGTGTTGTGTGACATGAATACAGATGGTGGAGGTTGGACCGTTTTTCAGAAACGTTTAGACGGCTCTGTAGATTTTTTTCTAGGATGGGAACCTTACAAATACGGCTTTGGAAATCCTAATAGCGAGTTCTGGCTTGGAAACGATAATCTTCATCATTTGACAGACTCTGATGACGTCATGCTGAGAGTTGACCTGGAAGACTTTGAAGGGAACATCACCTACGCCGAGTATACTACTTTTAAGGTTGCAGACGAGGCTGATAAGTACAGGCTTTTGATTGGAGGATATTCTGGCACAGCTGGTGACTCCATGCTTGAGAAACAACCTCTAAGGTAAATCAAATCTGAACGAGACTTAATTAACAATTGATTAACACTGCAGCGTGCGTTCATCGAGATATGAAGCTCGCGGGAAGTTTGGAGAGCACGAAAGATGCGTAAGAGTTGCTCGAGGCGTAGCATATTCATATCTCGATGAACGCACAGCTAACGTATGAACCAATTGTTTTATAACATTTTCAACCCGATGGAAAATTTTTTTCTCGAAGGATATGTTTGCTGACGTCATGAGCGTGCACAATAGGAATATGAAGCACGCTCGCGCAATTGAATTTGATTAAACAAATTTACTAGCTATGTTAAAAAGCGATATGAGCTAAGTCAGTCAACTCTTTGAACTTCTTCAACGGCTACACACTAGTGGGTGAGATCGTGACGTATTTCGATCAACAGATCTTCGGCGGTAAAGCCAAGAGGCACTTACCGCTTTTCTATCATAACAGTTAACGCAACAATTTGTTATTAAAAAGAAGGAAAGTAATCGGCTAGCAATAACTATTCTGGGCGAAGTAATATTCTGATTCTGAAACCTCTTTATGTTCTGAGGTGAGAAACACGTGAAATGACAATAGGGGAAAAGTCGACAACAGAGGTTATTAGTTTAGGAAGATTCTCCTTATTGTGTCAACCACAGCCAAACCTTTTCCTTGGCCTCTTTTAATTTATACTCTCGTGTGAACTAACTCGAGGCTCATGAAACTTTTTAAATATAACTCGACGGTAATCACAAGGAGGGGGTAGTGATGCTCGAAATAGTAGCGTATATTTTATGACAAAGGGTGACTCATACGGTTAATGTATGTGATCTTTTCCTTACTCTCGTTCATGTTTCTAGTGGGATGCAGTTTTCGACCAAAGATAACGAAAACGACAAAAATCCCAAATATCACTGTGCTGTGAGGTTCAAAGGTGCTTGGTGGTACAACCGTTGCCATAATTCGAATCTCAACGGCATCTACCATGGTGGGGCATATACCTCATACGCCGATGGAGTTTGCTGGGAAGGATTCAAAGGACTTTATTATTCGCTTAAACGTACGGAGATGAAGCTTCGACCCCTTATTATGAAAAAATAATGGCGTCGTTTTCCTTTGTAATGGTACATTAACTTTGTGAAAAATTTCCGAACATCGCACGAGGAGATAAAAAGCAGAATTTTCACCAAGTACAAGTATATGTCGAACGACCTTCTAAGCGAAATGATTCGCTTCATGGCTATAGTTCATCAAGCGCCTAATTTATGAAATGTCGTTTTTTAGAAATAAATGCCTCCACGGAGAACACAACTCGATCCATTTTTCAATAAGATGTTTATTGAAATAACTTTAAGACGGATAACATACAGCGCTCATTGATATTTAACACACGGATTATAACTTGCAGATAAAGCTTGTCGCCTCAAAATGTCGAATTAAATTTCAATACGATCCTTTATTCTTAGCTTGTCACGAGGAATAGACTGTGCTGATCACGGCAGACTACCAGCAATTTCTGATGCCACTAACTTGTATAATCGAATATGATGCACAATAAAGTTTCAACTACAGCTTCACTTACACGTGAATGTAGCATGACTTATAGAAATTATCCGGCTAGTCTAGAAATATTTTAACTATAGTTACGGAAGTCTGTTATGACTCATTCGTAGGTTGCCTCCAGTGTATTACCATTTTAAGTATTATAGATAAGTTTAAAAGTATTTGTACATACTGAGGAAACTAACATCTTGCCAAAATTTTAGACACGTCTCTAAACTATCTTCAAAATTTTATCGATACAGCGGTCTGCCTATTGTCACATTTTACGTCCACTAATCCCTTCAGCTTAGAGCCATTTTTCCTCTACGAAAATGAGATATAAGGAGACCCCCTTAGAGAAAGTTACAAAATAAACAGAATTTATTTGATATTAAGTTTTATTTCCTTAAAAAAAGATCGCCACGGATCAAAGTTGTCAAAATTTAAACGTTCTGTAAAGACGCTAACTTTTATTCTAGAATTAATGACAAATATTATTTGGCCATCAGTGTTCTGGTTGATTCTATGGCCGTTATGATTATTTGCTCGTAACTAGGAATTGCAGCGAAATTGCTGATATCTAGATGTGCACGGAATATGTGTTTCTAATTAAGAGAGTCTCTGTATGAGCGGTCCCCTCGATTTTGCTTGAGACACGGATTTCGCTCGTTTCTTATGTGTTGTAAGACATTCATGTACCTATTCTAAAACCACAATCCGTTTGATCGGATCTCTTTATTTTTCAGAGTTTTACGGAAATTAAATTTTACTCGAAGGCTTGTAGTGACACTTTTCAAGACGTTAATTTGAGACAACTTTGGAGAACAATTTACAAAAAAATTCGGAACTCAGCAAAAAAAAAAAAAGAAAAACAAATACCACAGCCATGTATATTAACTCTATCTTATCCATCGAGGCGACTTTCATGAGCATCACGTTTCAATCAAGCAAACAAGAAGACTTGAATGACACCTTATCGGTTCGCTTAAGTCACACACGCCAAAACCGATCAAATTCAAGGTAAATTATTGAAAAAGTGAGGCGTTCTTAACTGATCCAACTAACATAGCTAGGAAGTAGGTGCCATGGAAAAGGTAACTACAGAAAAAAACTTTGCGGGCCGACCTTTACGAAAACTTTATAACTCGGTGAACTTACCTAATTTTCGGCAATCTCCAAGTTTGGTCGCCATTTTGAGGGACTTGTCAACATGAAGCGTGGCAGATATAAATCAAGCAGGTAGATCTAAAACCGTCAAAAATACATACGAAAGCAATTCAAATGAACTTTACTTTCATTGAAATTGTTCGTTAAACTTACCATTCCTACATCCCATGCGACCATTTCTTCCGACAATTCAAACACTACAACTAGTGTTCGAATTCTCCTCGTCGATTCCACCGTAAGAAATAACCTGTGCCACCTAAGCTTCGACTCGAATGTGAAGTACGAGTCAAATAACATAACTGCTTCATCTTCGAGGCAATATCACGCTGGTATTTTGATTTTCTGATCGACAAGAACGGTGACCAGGAAGCGATCGCCATGTTTACCTCATGAACGTGACCGCTGACCAGCCGCTGAGTGAAAACAGTATAACGCGGGTGGGGTGGGTGACGGGCTTATCGTCATAAGATATTCGAATACATGCTTAAAAAGCTTTAGCACTCCCAGTCTAAACAGTGGAGGCATGCTTCGTGGTACAGACAACTTTTATTTTATTCTCATAACTTTCTCCTTTAAATTAGAACTGGTATTAATTAACAGAGTTATCAATATATATTTTTAAACGGGGTACCCGTATGACCTTTTTGCTTGTCGTCAGTGGTATAAAGTAAAATGTCTTTTCAAACAGAACGCTTTATTTATGCCCCATTGCACGGAATGAATACTATACTTAGAATGTTTGTTCTAGGTCATTTTTGCTGTTCCCAAGAATGTATGAAAAATGATAGAGATTTGATTCATTCAGCTGACACGTTCTTTTAACTTATGGCGCGTGCAGATTTTTTTCTATCAATAGAAACACACGCGCGCAACACACCGGAATTGAAAATTCTTCGTAAAATCGCTCGAACCTTAGAATGAATGTAGGCAACTTTGACTTCTGGCAAGATGAAGTGGATGGTTCAAAGGACCCCTTAAGATTTTTTTCAGGACTATAACTGAGATTTGTTTATAACTATGATAATCGTCATTATTAGCAGACGGTGCTTTTACCCATTGTTGTCATCATCATCTTTATCACGCTGGATGAAGTATAAAGCTGGCACGTTGCCTTACCTAACTACACAGAAAATTGTTCTCTCTTTTGCTCCCCTCGGAGCCTGGAAACTACTACTATTAAGACGATCAACAAGAAAGCCTTAATAATTACTGAAATTTTTTATTAACAGAATGTAAGAAAAAATCGGTGGGCAGAGTAATTCGCGTATCTTATAATCTGAACCATAGTTTTCAATAAAAACAAATACCACCTTATTCAATTTACCTTAGTTGTCTCGTGTTTAAAAGTGGCGTTTCTTGGGACCGTAGATTCTTCTCTGATTCTTCTTGTCTCGGCCAAGACTCACTATCATCAACTTTTTTCTTGTGCTTCTTACGGCATGGGACACATAGAGCTGAGGTAAGCGATTGCAGATTTCTCTGTTAAAGTGAAGCTCGCGCCGATAGCATCCATCAGGAATTGAAAACCGACATGCACTGTTTACTTTTTTTACTCTTAATCAAATAAGGGGTTTTTTAGTCTGCAAATTTAATTATACTGGTTGATGAGTACCATACAAACTGTTGAAAACTGACCGCAAATAATTGTGAACTGTAAGCAATAAATAAGTGTATTGCGTTGTCAGGTGATTTGATCTTCTACAAGAACATTATTGATTATCAACCAAGCAACATTGTACATATTTCCATCTGCAATCAAAAGCATTTACACATGGATCTATATTTTTTCAACGTAATGTGTACTAAAATACCTTTAATCTAATAAAGAGTTTCTTCTCTTTTCGAGCAGATATGTCATGAGACAAATAGATAACAGAAAATGTTACGGAAGACTACCTGATTCAACTGGAATAATAACTCCAAACAGCTTTTGAATGTCCTGAGACATATGCAAGGTAATTACATCTCTGCCTTGGGATACGCTTCCTGACACCATCATGATCAGGATACTGACATGTTACCTTTGCACTTCTCCAAAACTTCCCCAAAGTGTGGCGATGCCTATAGCAAATCCACATTTTTTGTTTATCCTCCTGAGCGAGGTGAAATAGGCCAGTCCTTGCCAAGATTAGCTCATTTTCTCTTAAGACCTCTTTAGACAGGTGGCAGCTTATCAAATGATATTTTACTTCATCATTGCATTCAGACAGTCGTACCAAACCACTTAAGCCTCGCGATGAACCAAAGTTTTTTCCATCTTTGCCATTCAAAAAGCAGTCCTGAGACATAATGAACGTCTCGCTAACAAAAGACTTCTTCCTGTACTTGTAATTGTTTCCAACGCGATACAAGTTCGGGAGATCTAAAGGAACTCACTATAACCTTGTATACTCGATATGATTTCGATTTCCGCGCCAAAGGAGAAGCCTACTGTAATTCATGAGTGGTCAGCGGTTATGCTCGTGAGGTAAAGAATGGGTTTGTGACTTTTTCACTAAATTGAAAAGACTCGCGTCACTCCTAGAAAATGGTCTAACGGAATACAGACTCCGAGCAGTCTCTAATTTTTCTTAAAGATAGTGAGGTCACGCGTATCCTGTGAGCATGGCATGCCGCTCCACGCTCCCAGAGTTGGGCAAAGACAAGACACGTTACTTCTGATGCGATTGTTACTGCCGTTATGCGTGATGTCACGCACTCATTAGCTAGATCCCGAGAGGCGCTGCGAGTTAAAAAATACATGTGCTCGATCGAAGTGGAGAATCGTTTCAACGCCCGTTTAACGTCATCGTTTATATTATAAGGACACAAACTTTTCGAAACCGTACAACGTTCGTTCAAGATTGTAAAGTCCATTTCATAATTACAAGTACGCGTGTTCAAGTTTGTGTTGTCGTACCGTTTTATGCGTGCACATTTCGTTTCGAAAAGTTTAACCCTCATCGCATACTGGTTTATTGGAACTTATCCTACGTTTATTTGCAATGTTGGGCGAACTGTTCGCCACTCATCGCTAATTTGAAGCGACTACCGAAGGATTAATTAGTGCCTAGTCCACCATGAACGATGAACCTGTCGCTGAGGGCGCTGGGCCTGGGTTTCCTCCGAACGAAAGCTGTCCCGATACTCGTGTAAGGAAATTAACTGAAAAGGGTCAAGAAGAGAAATTAAGGCGACTGAAAAACGATCAAACTGCCAAAACGACTGCTGTGACAAAGCAAAGGAATGCTCTCACAAACTTAATGGAAGATGAGAACAATCTTCATTTAGTGAAATCAGAGGTTATTGTATTGAACACATTATTCAAGGAGTATCAAGAAGCACGTGACCTTTATTATTGCCAGTTGACCTCCGAACAGGATCAAGACAGGGAACTTGATCGCTATGAAAGTAAGGAGAAGTCATTTTTGGAATTTAGGAAACAGGTTATGGAATGGATGAATGTAGCAGAACGTCGCTTAACAGAAGAACTTGATCTGCTCTCAGAAGTAAAATCGGCTTCATCCAAATCGTCCCGTGTTAGCACCCGTTCGAAGAAGTCTTCAGCCAGCTCAACGCCATCTGCACGAGCAAAGGAGAAACTTAAGCTAGCGGAATTACAAGCTGAAAAACAAATGCTAGAACGCAAACAAGCTCTACGAGCAGCAGATGAAGCCTTGAAACTGGAAACTGAAATAGCGAAAGCCCAGGCCAGAGAAAGGGTTTATGCCGATTTGGAAAATGATGGTAACCTAGAAAATAAGGATGGCATTGTTCCCTGTCTCCAGCAAAGTGAACCTAAATTCATGGCTTCAACACCTGCCGCTCATCTCAACCCTGCTGCCCCAGAGTTTCACTCAAACAGTCTAGCCGGCGAGATATCGCCTCCGGCTAACAACGGGACCACTGATGTACCACAAGGAATTATCGCTGCAGCTGATGATCCCTATCGATTGGAACCCCATGAAAGGTCTTTCAAAGAAGTGATGGCCATGCAGCGACAGCAAAATGAGCAAATGATTGCAACCCATCGGCAACTGGCTGCAGCAATGACTCTGCCTCAACCTGAAGTGCACAAGTTTAAAGGAGACCCCATCGAATATGGAACCTTTATCATGGCATTCAAGGCAAGGATAGAGTCCAGAACATTCAGGGCGGCAGATTGCTTATACTACCTGGAACAACATCTTGAAAGGGAACCACGAGAACTTATTGGAGGCTGTCTGCATATGGACCCTTCTGAAGGATATAAGGAGGCGAGGAGGTTACTGGAGAAGGAATATGGGGATCCCTTTAAAGTTTCAATGGCCTATGTGAACAAAGCTCTCGGATGGTCCCCAGTTCGGCCAGATGACGCATCAGGACTAAAGCGTTTATCGCTTTTCTTGATTAAGTGTAAAAATGCTATGATGAGCGTGTCTCATATGAATGAGTTAAATCATCCTACGAACCTGCAGACCATTGCAAAAAAGCTTCCCTCGCATCTCCAGTCAAGATGGCGTGATCGTGCTGCGAAATTGAAAGAGAACGGAAGGATAGCGAGCTTTAAGGATCTCGCTGATTTTGTGGTGTCAGCAGCCGAATCAGCGAACGACCCTGTATTTGGCGTGCAGGCTTTAAGTAGTACCCAGGAAAGGCGCAGAGATAACAGTGGGAGAGATGGCAAGAAGAAGCCCTCGTCAGCAACTAAAACAAGCAACAGTTTTGCCACTGGTATCACCATTCCCGGCATAGAGGCTGTAAACCATGCGAACCGAAACAATGCTGGTGGCAAGGAAAAGTTGTGCCCCTTCTGCAGCAAGAACCATGACCTGGATGATTGTGCGGAATTCCTCAAAAGGACCATGGATGAAAGGAAGACATTTCTTTACGAAAGAAAATTATGCTTTGCCTGTTACGAATCTGATCATGTATCCAAAGGTTGTGTAAAGAGACGCACCTGCAAGAAGTGCAAGAAACGGCACCCAACAGCATTGCACATTGATGGTTTCACAATGAATAGAGAGAGCGTCAGTAACAAACCCCAAGCGACGGAAGTTCAATCTATAGCGGTTAGCAATAGGCGCATTGATGTCTCTAAACCTGTACAGGACGCACCAAGTTGCAAGGAGTCCGTAGTGCTACATGCCATACTCCCAGTTAAAGTTAAACAGAAGGGCTGTAACAATTCAGTTGTCACGTACGCGTTTTACGATAATGGTAGTGGCGGCTGTTTTGCAACCGAAAATATCAGGAGACAGTTAGGAATAGACGGTGTCAAGGTTATGCTACAACTCACCACCATGCATGGACAGAGTCAAGTGGAAAGCATCATTCTGGACGATCTTATCGTTACGAGCCTAGATGATGAGAATCCCATTGAGTTGCCTCGCTCATACACATGAGATGAAATCCCAGCAGAACATCACCAAATTCCCACGCCCAGTCTCATAAATCAGTGGTCACACCTTTCCGAGGTTGCGAAGAAAATCCCTGAGCTTGAGCCTCGCCTGGTGATTGGACTACTCATTGGCAGCAATTGCCCGCCTGCCTTAGAACCATTAGAAGTTGTACCTTGTCGAAGCGATGGCCCATTTGCCCTCCGTCTCCGCCATGGTTGGACAGTCTGTGGACCTCTCCATATCCGAACTGATCATGACAAGGACAAAATAATCGCGAACCGAATTACAGTGAGAGAAGTGGAAACGCCGAAGGAAATCATTGCTCCAACGTCATTGCTCAGAATGTTGCAGATGGACTTCAACGATCACACCGTAAGCAAAGCACCGGACGAGCGTGGGCCTTCTCAAGAAGACAGAAAGTTTTTAACTATGGTTGAAAGGGAGACGAAAGTTGTCGACGGCCACTACCAAGTTCCTCTTCCATTGCGACATAGCGATATTATCATGCCCAACAATAAGGAGCAAGCAATCAAAAGAGCAAACTGGCAGAAGAAAAAGATGTTGAGAGATTCTAAATACCGCTGATTACGTTTCCTTCGTAAACGATGTCATCGCCAAAGGGTATGCACAAAGAGTTCCAAATGAGTTGCTGATACCGAACCCAGGCAAGGTGTGGTATCTACCCCATCATGGGGTGTATCACCCGAAAAAACCAGAAAAAATACGCGTCGTATTTGACTGTAGTTCAAAGTTTCAGGGCGTGTCGCTCAATGACTGTCTGATGCAAGGTCCAGATATGACAAACTCCCTAGTAGGCGTGCTAACCAGATTTCGTGAAGACCCCGTAGCCTTCATGGGAGATGTGGAATCCATGTTCCACCAGGTTACAGTTCCTCCTGAACAGTATGATTACCTCCGTTTCTTATGGTGGCCAGATGGCAATCTAGAAGCCGAGCTACAAGAGTATCGGATGGTTGTACATTTATTTGGAGCGGCCTCGTCGCCAAGTGTCGCTAACTTTGCCCTTAAGCGAACCGCAAGGGATAACGAAGATAAGTACGGTACCTTGGTTGCTGACACGCTGCGAAATAACTTTTATGTGGACGATTGTCTACGTTCCGTAAGCTCGGAAGGTAAAGCAGTCGAGCTGATTGAAGGTCTTCGGCAATCCTGTAAGAAAGGTGGATTCCGCCTCACCAAATTCACTTCCAATAGTCGTGCAGTTTTAGAGTCTACACCAGAGGATGAGCGATCGAAAGAAGTCAGATCAATAACTCTTGACTGTGACAACCTCCCTATCGAGCGTGCCTTAGGGATACAGTGGTGCGTACAATCAGATTGTTTTGGATTTCGAATCGTCATTAACAGCAAACCGTTTACAAGACGAGGAGTCATGTCCACCATCTCATCAATCTTTGATCCCCTGGGCTTCATCGCTCCTTTCACACTTCTAGCGAAGAAGCTGTTACAGGATCTCTGCCGCAATGAAGATCTCGACTGGGATGACGACATTCCGGAAGACTGCCGCAGTAAATGGCTAAGATGGTGTGGAGAGCTTCCGTTACTAGAGCAATTTCACATTGATCGGTGTCACAAACCGCCGGGTTTTGGCCCAGTTGTCTCCAGACAGCTCCATCTGTTCTCCGATGCAAGCCAGGTGGGGTATGGATGCGTTGCCTACCTACGTCTAATGGATAACATGGGTCGCATACATTGTTCCTTTTTAATGGGGAAGGCTCGTCTTGCACCTATTAAGGCCGTAACAGTCCCACGCTTAGAATTAACTGCAGCAACCGTATCTGTTCGCGTGGGACAAATGCTGTATGAAGAGCTTGAAGTTAAGCCTGAGTCTGTCATCTATCACACCGACTCGACGACGGTTCTCCGCTACATAAGAAACGAGCGGAGGAGGTTTCAGATATTCGTGGCAAATCGTGTGCAATTGATCAGGGACTTCACTAGTCCTATGCAGTGGAAATACGTGGACACCAGTAGCAATCCGGCAGATGATGCCTCAAGAGGACTTTCCGCCGCTGGACTTCTGCAGCAGCAACGCTGGTCAAATGGTCCACACTTCCTAGGGAAATCAGAAAAGGACTGGCCGCAGCAGCCCTTTCCAGTCGGTGAGGTCCCAGATGACGACCCTGAGGTCAGAAAAGTTGCTTCCGCCGGTACCATGGTAATGGAAGCCACGGCTACGTCAGTTAACAAACTAATAGAATACCACTCGAGTTGGTATCGCCTGAGATTGTCGGTGGCCGCATTCCTTAGAATCAAGGCTGTATTGCGAAAACGGAAGGAGATTAGAGGCCAGGGTTCTCTCGAGATAGATTCGGACCATGGTCAGGCAAGGTCGGGCGTGAAGTCACTACAAGCTGAAACGAAGGTAGTGGGTGACTGCTGCGCACCGCTCTCAGTTCAAGAGTTTGAAGAGGCCGAGATGGCCATCCTTCGCTTCGTACAGTTGCAGTCCTTCAGTAGAGAGTTTGACGCTCTCAGACAA